GTGAGAGGAGGCAGGGTGCTCACTCACGCACTGTGCTCACACACTCCCCGGTCTCATCGGTGAGAGGAGGCAGGGTGCTCACTCACGCACTGTGCACACACACTCCCCGGTCTCATCAGTGAGAGGAGGCAGGGTGTTCACTCACGCACTGTGCACACACACTCCCCGGTCTCATCGGTGAGAGGAGGCAGGGCGCTCACTCACGCACTGTGCTCACATCGGTGAGGAGGCAGGGCGCTCACTCACGCACTGTGCACACACACTCCCCAGTCTCATCGGTGAGAGGAGGCAGGGCGCTCACTCACGCACTGTGCTCACATCGGTGAGGAGGCAGGGTGCTCACTCACGCACTGTGCTCTCATCGGTGAGAGGAGGCAGGGTGCTCACTCACGCACTGTGCACACACACTCCCCGGTCTCATCGGTGAGAGGAGGCAGGGTGCTCACTCACGCACTGTGCTCACACACTCCCCGGTCTCATCTGTGAGCGGAGGCAGGGCGCTCACTCACGCACTGTGCTCTCATCGGTGAGAGGAGGCAGGGCGCTTACTCACACACTGCGCTACACATTCCCCGGCAAGAGTTCCCCATCTCCTCCCAGGTCGCCTCAGCTATGAACGGGTGGCCACACAGCTCCTAGCAGCACCTGTCACAACACCCATGAAGTGCTTGGCACAGCACCTGGCCCAATGCAAAGAACGTTAAACATTAACTCGTGTTTTCTTCACCAGACGAAGGCTGGCCATCTTCTACGCGAAGCAACCAGGCGTCCCTAGAAGAGGGGCTGTGGCGCCAGTAACAGCACCAGAGCCTCGGGCGCCGCAGTCTTCCGCATGTCATGAGAAGAGCTGCAGCTCCCTCTGGCTGGGCCCTGAAACTCATCCCTGGCTGCACTACAGGAGCGACCCAGGTGCCCCTAAGCGATGGGGCAGTGTGGGCTTTGTGTGCCTGCCAGCTGGCACATGCTATGTGACCTCCCTGGGGGTTTGAGCACCCAGAGCACAGCCGGCAGCAAGGCAGAAACAATCACAGTCAGGGCCTGGCACGCCTACCAGCCCACACACCTGAGAGGACCTGTGTCCCACCGTGCTGAGGTCCCGAGACAACCTCATGTAAGACTTGGGTCTGGACAGAGCAGGCCCGCCCTGAACCTCGGCCTCGCTGGCACAGCAGGCGTGACCAGAGCGAGCTGAAAGAGAGCAGGCTCACCATCAAGTCCTTCACCCGATTGCTCAGCTGGTCAATGAAGAGGATGGGGAGGTAATGCACCGTTGTCCCCAGCTGGACCCTGGAGGAAAAAGCATGAGGTGCCAAGGGTAGCGTCAGATGCTGCTCCTCAGCAGACCTGTGCCTGCACTCCCAGAACACAGACTTCCGCACAGCAGCAGGGGTGGTGACGCCCTGGGACAAGCAAGGTGATCTACAGCGGGGTATGGGAGCCAGGGGCCCAACCAAACCCTGACTGACCATGAAGTCAAAGGGAGAGAAAACCCTGTGCCAGAGACCCCCACCACCGAGGCTGCTGGACAGAGGCTGGAGATCTTTTTTGTGGGGTTTGAACTCAGGGCTGGGTGCTGTCCCTGAGCTCTTCTGCTCAAGGCTAACACACTACCACTTTGAACCACAGCCCCACTTCCAGCTTCACAGTGAATAATTGTAGTAAGAGTCTCACAGGGACTTTTTTGCCTAGGCTGGCTTTGAATATTGACATACTTAAAAATAAGACTTGTGGGTATAGAGGCTCAGGTCTGCAGTCGGAGGGGTGACTCACACTTGGGATTTGTCTAGGGTTCTAGTGGGTTCCCCGACCTAAGGATTTCCCCCTGCTGCGGGCTCCAGGGGCAGCGTCCCTCCCGGGGCCCCTCTGACGCTTACATCTTCATGTACCGGTGCACATCAGCAGGCAGTGAGGACCCATCGAAGACAAAGTCATCCACCATCACATTTAGGGTCAGCCTGGGTCTCCAATGAGAGACAGGCTCATCCAGGGCATTTGACGGCTTCTTCTCTGCTTCAATTTGCTGCTATAAACGAGAAGCAGAGGCCACACTGGAGTAGAACACAGTGCGTGGGGAGGACCGGGCAGCAGGGCTGTTGGCGGCTCTCTTGTGAGTGCCCAGCCAGACACAATGGGGAGGAAAGCCCGGGGAGCCTTGGGGACCCTGGGTGGAAGGCCAGTTTCTGACCACACTGTGTCTCCTTCCCCCTGGGTACAGAGTCAGGGTCCCACTGACTCCACTTTCATCTCAGGCCAAGCAAGACCACTCGTGTGATCTTGAGGGGTGGAGAGTGGAGGGGTGGAAGGAGCAGACTGCACCAGTCAGGAGCTACAGCCATGCAGGCTGGGAGGAGACTGAGACACTGCAATCAGAAGGGACTGGCAAGCATGTGTGCCTAGAGTCAGGCACATTCCGATAAAACTGAAGCAGAAACACCCAGAGCAACTAAAGAATCATACTTTATCTTAAAACCAGCTGATTCTTTAGGAAGCAGTAACACCTTCTTTCCTTCCTAACAACAGTTCCCCGGTAACAACCTTCCTTAGATGAGGTCATCAGGGCAACAGCATGCTTTTACTGTGAATCTGCGACATTCCGGAAGCCCCTCCACACACCCACCACTCACTACTCCTCAGGCCACCAGAGTGGAGGGCCGCTCCCAAGGAGACCAGCAAGAGAGCAGACTGGAGAGGGTTTTCAGTCTGCTCTGAACTCTTAAAGACCACAGCTGTTTCCTGCAGAGCTACCATCTTGTTGCGATTTACTCTTCTGTTCAATAGAACCAGAATCAGATTTCCTTTATCAAGGGTCCCCATGAGTGATGCTTTTCTGATTTCTGACTTTTCTTTGCACATTTAACGTTCTATGGGTCTAGGACCTGTACTTTCTCTACAATGCTGAATCATAAACCTAGACACGCTTGCTCACTCACTCCACATACAGTATCGTGTACGTGCAGCCCTAAGTGGCGGATCAGAAGGGAAGGCTCAGCAGGCTGTGCAGCATGAGCCAGCCTGGGAGGGAATGCATGGTGCCTCAGCACACAAAAGGCCTGCTGCCTGAGAAGGGATGGGGTAGAGTGAGAAGTCATCGCTCATCCTTGGTTTGATGTGACACGTATCTGCAAGCCCTTGGGAAGTCGTTCAGATGAAAGGTATCTCTGTGAGCAGCACCCTCAAACCCTGTGAAGCCTCCACACAGACTATGATGCAGAGACGTGCACATGCAAACTGCGCAGATGGTGTGAACTGGATGTCAGTCACCTGTGTAGAACCTCACCTGAGCAGCAGACTCCCCAGTGAGTAGGTTGATCTCTTCTGGCTTGGGGATCATGTAGGTGGTCAGAGGGCTGACCAGGTGCACTTGCTTCCCATCATGCCACGGCAGAACCCCAGCATGATGCAGGAAAATATATGCATACAGCGTCCCATTGTTTCTTGTTTTCTTTGGTACAGAAACATTAACTGTCCTAAAAACAATCATTTCGAATGTATGTGTTACTTTAATTCTGTAGTATAAACATACAGAGGCAACTCAAATCTCTTCAGATAATGCTGTTTCCCATCATCTGCCTTTAGCACAGAGCTACTAGAAATGAAACCCACCTGCCTGTGACTTTACTGAGGCTGAGCATGTGAAAATCGTAAATAGCTGTCATGGTGAGTAAGCCAATACTCGATGTCTCCATTTTGCAATGAAGAGGACAGAGGAAAATAACTCGCTAAAAAAGTTAGGCAGAAACAACTCATCAAGAGACAGCTGATTTCTACAGCACAAGAAGTAATGCAACTCACAAGTTTCAGCACCCTGGCACAACTCTGCAATCACCAATGTATGCTGTAAGTGCTTCCTTGGCACTGTGAGGAAGAGCAGAAATACTTATGTGGGTGGCTGTTTGGTTTCTGTTGTATTTTTAAGGAAGAGGTGGGAGGTGACTGAAGAGTAACTTCAGCTCTCTGGTTGGCCCTGACTGTGGTGGCCTCACCACCTGGTGCTTCTTCTCCCAGATGTCAGCCAGGTGCCTGGCTCTTCACTTCCACCCCACAGCTGGAGCTCCTGTGAACACTCCCACACCCCACCTGTGTACAACTATAAAAGTGCTTGCTCCTCCCTCTTCTACAAACCTTACAGGCAGAATTCTACACAGAGAAACATAGGTTTCGTACCACCACACGAACAAGTCTACTGGGATACCAGTGGCTTCTGTCTGTGGGGCTGGGGTGGGGAAGGGTGCTAGCTTCACACTGGTGTCTCTGAGAGCACAACTGAGGTGTGCTGAGGCTCAGCGCAGCAGGTGCCTGTCCCCGGAGCACTCATGTTTCTCTTTCTTCCAGGCCCAGAATAAAATGCTCACTAGCTGTCCTCAGTAACTGGCACAGGGCCCAGCAGTGGGCCCTGTGAGACTGTGAGACTGAACCCAATGTGAGCCTGTCCTGAGCATTTCTGAACTGTGGACAACAGTGTATGAAGGAGGGAGCCAGCACTTCCCACCTCTGTTTCCTAAGGTAACGTGCCCAGCTCCTGGGCTCTGTGGCTAGGTCAAAGTAGTGCTTGGACCTGGCCAATATGCTTCCAGCTGGGCCAAGGGGCTGGCTCACTGGAGGTCTGCGGCCTTCTGGGCAGTGTGGATGAGACTATGTAGAATCTTGACTCATAAAGCAGTGCTTTTTAAAATTGTGTCTCAAATTTTTGTTTGTGGGATTTGAACTCAGGGCCCAGACACTGTCCCTGGGCTCTACTACTTGAGCCAGAGTGCAACTTCCGGTTTTCTAGGGGTTAACTGGAGGTGGGAATCTCAGACTTTCCTGCCCTGGCTGGCTACAAACTGCCAGATCTCAGCCTCCTGAGTGGTTAGGATTACAGGTGTGAGCCACCAGTGCCCAGCTAAAAATTATATGTCAACTTTTAAAACTGTATGTTAAGTGCTAACCCATATGTTAACCTTAAAAAGTTCCTCTACATTGCTGGGTGCTGCTTGGTCTATTCTAATACCACGTGTCAATTACAATTTTCCACCAACTCCTTCCATTGGTCCATTTCTTTCTTTTTGTAGCTTAGGTAGGCTCCTTTGGAGTCTGCACTAGCTGCTGAGCCCCATCTTGCTGTCAGATACCTGCCACTCCATCAGACACAAGGGGACTCTACCAAGCTGTCACCTCCCCCTGCACACAGTGCCAACCTTGACATTATGGCCCATCATGACACTCTGACCCCAACTCACACCTTTCAAACTTAGACTGCACATCAAAGTCCTCCACATTCAAGACCAGGTCCACGTTGTTCTCTGCACCCAGGCTGGACCGCGTGGTGGTGTACACGCTCAGCTGGAAAGGAGCGGAAAGTTAGCCAGAGTGGACCAAAACCGCATCCCAGCACGGAGGGCTTCCTCCCAGCCTGGTACGGTGAAGTTTGGGGTCGCCTGGGGGCTGGAAGCCCGCCCGGACTCCAGGGGTGTCACTGCAGCGGGGCCCATCACACGGGCCTAGACACCGGGGAAAGGTGGACCGTGCCTGGAGCCTGTGTCTCCACCCCAGCTCTGAGCAGGACGGCAGGCCACGGTGCCGGGCCGGGAT